GGGGGTGGTCGGCTGCAGGTGGTGGGTAGTCGGCTCCGGGACGGGGGTGGTCGCTACCAGGAGGGGGGTAATCGGCTCCAGGACGGGGGAGGTCGCTCCCGGGAAGGGGGTAGTCGCCTCCGGGCGGCGGGTAATCCGTAGGTCCGGAGCAGTTGGCTCCAGGTCGGGTTTGGTCATAGTGGTTGCCGGGGAGGGTGTCGAGGGGCGGCAGGCCGTGTTCGCTGACGGCAGGGGGTGGGGCGAAGGAGCCGGGGTGCGAGACTTCGTCTTCGGTGTGGTAGTGGTCTCGTTGTGGAGGCGGGATGTCTGAGTTGGGTGGTTCGGCGAAGCGAGGCGCTCCAAACCCGGCAGGCGGTGGTTCGAGTCCCGCTGGCGGCACAAAGCCTTGGACTGTATCGGCGGCCGGCGGGAGTCTCGTGCGGGCAGAAGCAGGCGGTGGAAGCGAACTCTCGCGGCGGGTTCCGAAAGCCACATAGCGACTCGACAGCTTCGTCACAGCCGCTGCAGACAACTCAGCCACTCGCGGAGGCGCTCCCTCACAAGCTGGCGGCAATACCTCAGGCTCCACCACCGGCCCCGGGGCCTCAGCTTGTTGCCCCGGTCGCACCCACCGCCCCGTGGCAGCGTCGTACTCCAAAGCCATTCGCTTGCCCAACTGCAAAGACGCTCAGTATCCGGCAAGAGAGAGTTGGACCCGGGAGGAAGGGACGGACAAGGAAGGACGACAGGAGGCACCAGGACGGATGGCTAGAACTAGCACGGGTGACTAGTACCAGCACGGGTGACTAGAACTAGCACGGGTGACTACTACTAGCACGGGTGACTAGTACTAGCACGGGGGCCTAGAATTACGACCCCGGCGGGGAGTTTGTCAGGACCGGTCGGCGGGGACAGGACAGGGCCCGAGGGACAGGGGAGACCTACGTTGGCGACCGTAGCCGGTTTACCATCTTGGCGACCGTTGAAGAGTTTTCCTAACACTTGCATTCGCAGTACAAAACGCGCAAGGAGGTACGCTGATGGCGCCTCCTGAAAAAATGATTTCCTCTCAGCACCCGGCCGAGCCACGGCCCTGTTCGTCCGTTAGTTACATGACGCTGGTCGCACTACGACGTCGCTGATGCGGTGGACACGACCGACGTTGTTACCGGTATGTGCCAGCTGCTGTCACCAGTTAAATGTGTGCAGTACATGCATTGGTGTGGGGTCAGCGTGCTGGCGCAACTGTGCCGGCCTGGCTCGCCTGAAACTTCCCAAAAAGCTTTTGTGGCAGCCCGGAGGATGCCTCAGGCCCGACTGAATCGCGTGCGGTGCACGGACACAGATTGTGGGGAAACCCTCTGAATTTCTGCGAAGCGCCGGCAGACCTCGCAGGATCGATCCCGACCTTGCCCAGCAGCCTGCTTAATCACCTGACTGATGCAGCGCCGCTCGTGCTTCGGCTTATCGCTGCTTTTGGCCACAAGTCTGGTTTCACAGACGCCCCGCTTCAGCGGAGGCTTGTTACTAAGTCAAGCTGCCTTTGTTAAGTTAGATGAACACTTCACGACCGCCGGCGGCTGTTCCTTCCGCCTGTGGACGGTGGAGGGTCCCACGGAACTCAACGTGACCAAGTTCCCCGTCGTGCCGCACTGTCCACGGGAACATCGGTGCAGGGCCCAGGATTTGAACCCACGACCTGACGCTATCAAACTGCTCGACACCGCACCCGCGATCGGCTCTGCGGCCGCGCTAAATTCGACCAACGCACGACCCACGCCCAGACAACTGGCCCTCCGCGTGTCCTTGCCCGTCAACCGGAACGCGGCTAGCGTGTGCCGCTATCTAGAAGCCACTTGTCGTGACCAGTCGCGGCGCACTATCAAAGTCGACTGTCGCACGCACCCGCATTTCAACACCCCCCTCCTCGCCACCAACCGGACCACCGACGGTCACTGGACTGAAGGCGACATTGTGCTGGGCGAATTCGCCTCCGCAGACCACTCCGTAACACCCCCCCCTGGGACGTACCACCCCCCCCTGGGATGTACCACCGCCCCCACCGGGATGTACCACCGCCCCCACCGGGACATGCCACCACCCCCACCGGGACATGCCACCACCTTACCCCCCGGTCTTATTCGTTCTTGCAGGTGCGACAGTTATTGCCTACCATGACGGCGCGTAGGTTGAACGACTCCGTGGCGCCGATGTTTCCCGAACGGCGAACGAGTTTACTGCATCCGCTGTCAGTTGTGTCGCCGCGGACGGCGTGCGGTACAGACGTGCGTGTGTTGGATGAAGATGGCGCGCCCAACCAGGTGGCTGGCCTGGTTGCCTTTGGGTCTTGGGATTTGGCTGAGTTCTTTACGCCCGAGGGCCGTGTCCTTCTCAGTCGTCCCGATCCGGTCGTCGGGGCGGGGGTGGATTCGAACCAACGACCTGGCGCTGCAGTATATTTGCGTCCACTTAAGATCAGTTCGCCGTATGCCTTCTTCTTTAACCGGACGGAAATGCCGCTACCCCTAGACACGTATCAAGGTCGTACAGGTTGCTGGCACTGGATTCACGAGGCGGACGCGAAGCGTGAGGCCTGGACTGCGACCTTTTCCGACTTGGACCCGCGACCGTTGAACATCCAGGGCGTCATCACGATTCGTCCCGCACCCAGTCTGCCGGCCGGACTAGGGGAATCCAGTCGACGACCACCAGAGACGGGGGAGTTGGTACCGAAACCAGTGCTTGTACTCCCGAACAACACGGCTCTGGAACTCGCAGCATGTCAGGCAGTGATGCCGCCATCGGGACGCGAGGCCTTTTATCAACAAGTCCTCGACCTGCCCCCAGATGCCCTCCTATGTCCTTTCAGTTTCTTCGGCGCTGGCTTCGCTGCAAAACTCAAGTTCCGTGGACGAACCGTGCACGTCGACTTGCGCGACTTCACCGATCTGGACGTGCCCCCGCGTGCACTTTCTGCACGTGACACTGACCCACGCCCACACGTCCTACGTCTACCCGAACTTGAACGTTACGTTCTTGTTCAACCCCACCAAGACCAGGACCTGAGTCAGGACCAAGACCAGGACCTGAGTCAGGACGAAGACCAGGGCCCTAGGCCGGATCAAGACCAGAACCAAGACCCGGGCGGCGGGAACGTGAGTCGGTTGTTCCACACGTATCTAGACCCGCTGGAGGCCGCGATCGACCCGACGCGACCGGTCTACGCCATCCCCATCGTGCCCCGATCGACCCCTTCTCCTGAGGGCGCCGCTGCCGCTACCACGGGTGGCCGTTTTGGTCGTTTACTGCCATACTTGTGGCGCCGCGTAATGGTGACCGACTGGCGGGACGACGGCTGTCTGCAGTCAACCGTGGGTCCGCTCATGCTCGGGCAACCCTGGCGTGGCGCCACGGAAGCCGTCGACGCCGTCGAATGCCAACGTCTTTGCACCGGACCATGCGTCGCGTGGCAAATGCGCCACGCCACACACTGCGAGTGGTTCAGCCAAGTCCGGTTCGAAGTGCCGGCAACGCAAGTCCTCCGCAACCGCTGCACAGAACTGATCGCACTCGACTCCGCGCCTGGCGCCCTCAACCCCAATCCCGTGACCACGAGCCCGATGACTATCCCTTTCCCGAACCAGCTCCCGAACCCCTTCTCCCTGGCGACCAAGGCCGTTCAAAACGTGACCAAGACCACTCGAAGCGTGACCAAGACCCCGACCACTCCAGACGTGGTCAAGACCAGTACTCAAGACCTCCTTGCCGGTTCCCTTTCTGGGTTATCGACAGTGGTGGGTGACTTGTCTCCGGCCCCCCCGCCAGTGCTGGAATTATTGGCGGCCGATGTGCAGCCGGGTCGATCATTTGGCAACCAGGTGCGTGCGACGTGGTCGGTGAAGACGTCGGCCTTAGCATCTGAGCCGCACGTGTTACGTGTGGCACTGACGTGTGCGGGTCATCGTGTATATACGGCACAGGTTGTCTTTGATGCGACGCCAGTGCTCGGATTTGCTGAAGGTCGACTGGATCTCGCATTCCGTGCACGATTCGCGCCGACGGAAGATTGTGCTCTCCGAGTCCTCCTAGACGCTGCCGCCGCTGCAACGACCTTCCCACTCCGAGATGCCCCACTCAGCGAAGCCGAATCTTGGCTCCTCGTTTGGAACCACCCACTTGCAACGACACGAACTGCACCCGTCGCAGAACTTGTGTCGGTGCCCAACGTCGCCTTGCACACACTCATCTCCGGCGGCCAACTCCTTGCCACCTCACCCACCGATTTGAACCTAGACCGCGGGCTCGATCTAGACCTACACCGCGGGCTCGATCTAGACCTAGACCGCGGGCTCGATCTAGACCTGGATCTGAACCTGAACCCTCCTCGTAGTCTGGCCGAGGACGCGGTGTTGTGGCGGAGTGTGCGCGTGTTTGCTCAGTCGTTCGACTCTGTGTCATCACGAGACTGCGAGGTTGCGCGACTGGGTCCGGAGGTGTATGAGTTACGCGCGGCGCGTTCACAGCACTGTGCATTGAATGCGGCATTGGCAGTGCGTCGCGATACCGAAGTCTTGGCGATGTATACGAAAGAAGTGACGTTGAGTGTGTGTGAACGGAGCTGTGACGGACCCACACACGTGCGCCGTGCATGGACCGTTTTCGCCGACCGAGATGCTCGCGCCGGATTCCTCTCCGGCGCGCTCACTGTGCACTGGAATGCACCGGTACAGAACGCGGCATGCTACGTGCTCGTCGGCCTCGGAGCGGCCTGGAGAGTGGTAGGATACAGCGGTCTAGATCGCCTCACCGCTCGTCTCCAAATCCCGCTCTCTCCCACCTCGGTCGACGCAGACGAAGTGCTACGCACCGTCTGCTACGCACCCCATCTCACTCCTCTCGTCACTGACATTAAGAGACCCGATTGGGACCAGGACATGGACCAGGACAACACCCGCCGAAGAACCACCGATCTATATGACCTTGTGGGCGACCTCAATGACGACCCTAACCGCCTCGGCTTCTATCTCAAACTCCTACCCGTCTCTGACCCCGATATTGCCTCTTTCCCTCCTCACTCTGCCTCTTCCCCTCACTCTGCCTCTTCCCCTGACTCTGCCTCTTCCCACTCTCACCCTTCCCAATCTCATCCATCAGCCTTTACCATCCCGTCTGCCGGAGCGGCAGAGGCAGCAGCGAAGGCAGCAGCGGCCCGCGTGGACACAGTGTGCCTGTCGAGTGTCCGGCGGCCGAGCGACTGCGTCATGGACCTCACGGACAACGACATCGGCTGCCAGCTCTCCGGCGCCGGCTCCGACGGATTCACGCTGCACTGTCCGGCGCTGGACTTGGACTTCGTGCGCACGGTATACCGCGAGGCCGCTGCAGATGAATTGGGTTTACCCTCAGCTCCGTTTGACCAACGACTGGAGGATGTCAGCACCTTGGCTCGGTTCACAGTCTTCTTCAGGGATGGGTCGTTTACAACACACTTATTGGAAGCGAACAAGATCTTCACGTCCATGGCGTCGGGTCCGGTGTACGAGGACCTGTTAGCCTTAAGGCCGTTGGCAGCGGCACGTGCATGGGACTTCAGTGCGCGTTTGGAGAAGAGTCAGTACTGCACGGACTGGGACAGTCAGTCGTTGCTTACCGGTCGCGGTTGCTTCGAGCCAGAACCGGGTGCGCCGGCCGTGGATTTTTTCCACGTCGGCGGCACCTGCTTCAAACCTGTGGCTGGCTGGATCCGTCCCACGGACCAACTGCACACAGCGAGTATGTCCGGGTTGCCGACCCCGGCGGGGTTGTCGACTCCTCTGACGGGAAGTGTGGAGACGGCGCGCATGTTGGTGGCAGAGGATGAAGAGTGCCGCACACGCTGCGAATCGGCGGGTCCGACGCGGTGTGAGTACTTCGTGGTGAACGTGCGGACGTGTGTCGCGCCGAACGTGTGTGTGCAACGCGGAGCAGTGACGCAGCGCGTGTGTTCATTGCGTGTCGGTGCAGACGGACTAGGATCCTCCGGTGTGCTCCGGGCCCCCGGTTCGATTCCCACCCCGTCCAATTCTGTGTTGGAGTGGTTGGACTTGGCAGAGGGCGAAAGTCGCTCGGTGTTATGCAGTCCGGCCCCGGAGTTGGCCCGGAAACCCGGCATCCTCATCACGGCGACGGACCTGGACCAGCGAACGGCTCACTATTACGGACACCTGGCAGTGCTCGAGTTGCATCCGGTGAGCGCCCTCTCACGCTTCCATGTCTTTGCCCGCACACCCACCGAGCTGCTCCCGCTCGGCGTGGTCGCGAAACGAGCACGCGCACCCGGCACCTTCGCCGATGCCGGGGCCCTACAGCCTCTCGTCCACGACATGCGCTTCCTACTCCGCGAACAACAAATTGAACAGTTCCTCGTACTCGCCACTGGCGCCCGCTCTCAGGTCTACGGACTCGCTCTACCCGACAACACGCAGCCCTGGTTCCAGGCCCCAAAGGATGCACTTCAAATCCGCTTCGAACAACAACGCGGAACAAGGTCCGAAGCTCTCCAAAACGACGAGCTCCACGGACTCACACACCGTGCGCTGCAGACCTGGCACGAACGATTTGTCCGCGACGTTCTTCGGATCCAAGTCCGCGACGTCGAGATCGCCATAACCGCCCGCCGACGACTGGCAGGTCTAGACCCCTTGTACAGCATGCTACAAGACGCTTATCAAGAGCCCTACGGTCAGGATTCCCACGGCCAGAACCCCTCGTTGGATTCGTGGAGTGCGGTGGCGGCGTTGAAGGAGACGGCGCCTGCTGCATACCAATCGCTGCTCTTTGGCTCCGCTGTAGCGCCGGTCGCTAGGATTCGAACGCGGGACATGGGAGCGCCGGCGGCGGGAGCTGACTCCACCTCAGATGCTTCGGCTGACTCCACTTCAGATGCTTCGGCTGACTCGACCTCAGATGCTTCGGCCGCCTCGGAGGACAACGAGTCGGCCTTCCTGACGGGTGCGGCAGCGGCGGAGTTTGCCCCTCGGTCGCTGACGGCTGCGGGGTCGGTGCTGTCGGCAGGCAACTTGGTGCAAGTGGAGTGGGTGGTGAAGTTACCGGCGGAGGGAATGCCATGGGATTTGTATGGGGCATTGGGGGAGAGCCGTTGGTTGTTGCGGCGGGTGCCGGAGACGGACCGACGACTGCCTCTGCGCCTGAGTTTCCTATCGTCTTTTCTGGACGCACCCTTTCTCGAGTTCGAGATGTGTGCACGCGGTTCCACACGACGTTGCACACCGCTACCCGCGCCCGTGCGAACCCCGGCGGCACCGCTGACTCTCGCGGAGCAGCCGCAGACGCCGCTCGCGCCCGCGTGCGCCTTCCAGATGCTTTCTGCTGACCTCGACCCGCGTCCGGCATACACACTCTTTCGACTCCGAGTCAAAGATGAACAGACACCCAAACTGCTCTCGGCTACAGAGATCAAACAACAACTCAGCCGTTGCCAGTGCACCGACCACCCGGGCGGGCGACAGGCTGACCACCACGCTGGCCGGAGTGGTCTCGACCACTCTGGACGGAATAGCACTCTGGACTTTGTCAGCCTGAAGACTCAGCACTTGCCAACTGATAACTGGACCGCCAGCCAGAGTCGCCCTGCCAGCTCGATTCCGGACAGCTTCGAGGAAGACTGGTGCGACCTGACTGACCGCAAGACCCGGCTGGTCGCCGGCTCGGCAACCAACGTGACCGCCCAGATCCGCAACGAGGACCTCCGCACCCGCTATCTCGCCGGCAAGGTCGTCTTCTCCGGACTACCACGAGTCGTGGGCGCTCTCGAAGACAACCCGCCTGTCTTCGGCGTTTGTTTCTGGCACGGTCTTAAACAACAGTCACTCGCCACCAACCCCATCCCCTTAACCTGGACCCGCGCCGGGGACTACTATCACCAAGATGGGGACTACCACCACCAAGATGGGGACTACCACCGTGACGACCAAAGGTCGGCGTATGTAGGCGTGGTTCCCTTCGGAACCCGGCGTCTGGCGGATGCGGCGAGTTGTCTGGTCTGGGTAGAAGGCAGTGTGCTGTTGGAGGACGTACCGCTGCTGGTTGTCTCGGCGCCGACGGCGGCAATGACCGCGTTGCCTGCCCCCTCTTCCTCCTCTTTGACGCCGGTGCGATTCGAACCCGCGACCGACAGCTTCCGAGTCACGGAACGGGACGGCTGGGTGCGTGTGCAGTGCGATGCCGCACCCGTCTGGGCCGAGGCTGAGGGGCTTGGGGAGCGCTGGATCGTTTGCAAGGCGCTCGGTGACTCTCAAAAGTTCCAACTCGACTCAAGTGTTTGTACGCGTCTGTACTCCGCAGACGCCGTCTACCGTCTCTGTCCCCGCGACCCTGTTCAGGACGACGAGGACCTCAAGGCGCCGGGAGACGGAGCCGGTGAGTGGGCGGGAGAGGGGACCGTGGAGGTCTTGTATTTGCCTATGCACCCACCTAAGCTCGCCATTTCCTACCCCGTCGGCGAGAGTCTGATCGTATCCTACCCCGTCGGCGAGACGGACGACGTCGAGATGGACGACCCGGTCCGTGGTCTGGAGTCGAACCCCCGCGCCCAGGGGCTGGAATCGAAGCGGGGTCTGGAGGGTTTTGGGTCGGGCGTGGCGCTGCTGCCGTCGGG